GGTCAGTTTTCTAGACTTAGTCTTAACTTGAGGCTGATATTGTCATACCTTTCATTTAGTTTGAGAAGGCTGGTCGAATGGATTCGCAGATTGGCCGCACCGGATAGCGCAGGAGGGTTGCCTTGTACTTTTGTCTGTTGAATTGCGCGAACAAGACCTCGGCTCACCGACCTATGACCCCGATGACTACATGCTGAACTTAGGTCCGTCATGTGACCGACATCCTCAGAGTCATAAACCATTATTCACGAAAAATCATCAAAAACATTAAGCACACCTTTCTTGGGTCGAATCCATCCGACCTGGCTTCTCAAATGAAATGAAAGGTATGCCAGTATCAACCTCAAGTTAACACTGAGTCAAGAAAACTGACCGATTCGATCCTACATGCTATATATATTCATAACGAAAATATATTTATATAAAGATTGTGTGTGTAGATGTGTTTGCGCCTGTGCGCAAAACTGACCATTACACAAAGTAATTAGAAAAAAGCTTAATTTCAGTTCCGGGTCATCAAGGTCCTTATAAATCAAGAAACAAACATGACCGAGGTTGCATAAGTTTGTCAGTAACTCTGGTTGATTTGATAGAATGCCCGCTTGTACGCGTGAAATTCAAGTTACGAAACCAGTCCGAATCCGTTGGTCTGAGGTCATTAAGGTTTAATGTCCCAAGGAAAAGCATGACTGGGACTGCGAAGTCTCACACGTTCCTTTTGGATGATGAGTTTGACATGTCTGCTGAATGAGTGTGGATTTGGTTAGAATCATCGTTCAGCTTTTGGACGGCAGCTCAACACTCTCCCCTCATTCAATCTTTTAATCAAGCATGAGTAATTCTCACTCAACTTCCTACCACCATTCTTCACATTTCATCTTTTCCCTAATTTATCAGTTTCAATAAACTCAACTATCCTGCGCTTCCTTGCAGACATACCATAATCAGACCATTCTACATCGTGTCCAGTCTCCGCTCCGTGCTCTTCTTGCCACTACTCACCGCTCGACCCAGCCGCTTTGACAAGCATTCTTATGCTCCGCTAATCTTTGGCGGATAGGCTGACAGATCTTGCCAACATCAGGTCGATCACGAGAGCACATAATCTTGTAAAAGCCGGATCTTGTTAATGGGCCATTTTACTCTCTAAAAGCCGGCATACCCGAAGAAAGT